AAACAGGGCCTTTTCTTTTCCAAAAATAATAATTAAATTTGACATTTGATTTCCTTTGCTTTACAAGTTTTATATTTTAGATCCATAAATAGTTCTATTACATATACACAAAAATATATATGTGTGTGTGTATTGGTGCGTGCAACACCGCATTAGTGGCAACTTGAATTGGGTAACCTTAATACAGACTCATCAATATTAATATAACAGTAGATGCAATAGTGCAGAAAAGGAGAAATGCAAATAATGGAGACAGGAGTGAAGCATTGTTGGTGCTGCCATGCCTGGGCATGATCCCGTCTCCAGAAATGCCACTGCCGTCGTTCTCCGTGAACGCCGGATATATATCCCCGCCTTCGCTGGGATCATTGAAGACGCCGGCGTTGAGGGTGAGGAGGTCGATGTGAAGGGCGGATTGCGGTGGCAGAGACGAGTCCTGGGCGTATTGGGTGCTCACCCAATCTCCCGATCCCACGAAGTATGCTCCGTTCACCATTAAGTCCCCCTCCGTCTTCCAATTCCAAGTCGCCCACTCTCTCTCGTCTGTGTCCACCCGCTTCGTGACCTCTTTAGCATTAGCATTGGCGGGAGCAGTGTAGCGGTTGCCCTGGCTGTTTATGGTGGGCGCCGCACTGCCGCCGATCGCGTACATCTCCCACTGCGTGTAATCGTTGTTCACCACGTGCACGTACCCGTGTCTGCACCGTGGCATCCGCTGCACCAGCTTCTCCCCGAAATGATTGAATGCTACTGTCACCTGCATCATCCTATCCCCTTCATACCTATCATCGTGCCCCAGCAGCATCACCTCGTCGTGATGCGAGAAATGGTTGTTCGATATCGTTATCCCCGTCGACCCCATTATCGCGTCTATTAGGCCGTCCGTGCAGTACGCCAGCCTGCAATGGTCTATCCAAATCTTCTGTGACCCATAGATGGACACCCCGTCGCCGTCCGATCCCCCTCTCAATCCTACCTTTGTTGGACTAGCCCGTATCATTGTCTTGCTCGACGGCCTGCAGTGGTGGATGTGCACGTTGTGAATGATGATGTTGGAGACGTACTGCAGGGTGATGCAGCCGTCGCCGGTGATGTGGACGCTGGCTCCACGTCCGTCGATGGTCTTGAAGCTGTTGAACATGAGCTCGTGCTTCAGGGTGATCATCATGTTGCCAGCGAAGACGATCCAGAGGGGCACATCTTGGATTACGGCGTGCCGAAGAGTTCCCGGAGCTGGGTTCACCGGGTCGTTGTCGGAAGGGTCAGTGACGATGTAGAACTGGCCGCCCTTGCCGCCGGCAGCATCGGTGCCGAACCCAATACCACAGTCGGCCAGCTTCTGGCGGTCGGTGGCCCAGTTGGGGTCGCACCGCCAGCAGTCGTCGATGGGGTTGCCGGTGAGGCAGCCTGGAGTTTGGTCGGATTTGTCAACGGAGAGGAGCTGTCTTCTGGAGAGAGACGCGTTGATTCTCCTGCAAGTGAGGGGAAAAAGAAGGGGAGGCTAAGATGACGGCAAAACACAGCTGCTCTGCTTTTGTTTGGATGTCGGGAAAATCAACGTGGAGGCAGAGAAGGTAATTCTGTTCGGGTTATGCTATTTTCATGCAAAATGCTGAATAATGAAACGTCCCATATGAAACGGCAATCCAGTGCATGGATTTTATTGTGTGCATGAAGGTGTAAGTTTTGAACCATGTCCTTGTCGGATTTTGGATTTTATTTTCTTAGTTTTTCTTAATGTGCTTTTATTTTCTTCTTTAACATAAAAGGTTTCAGAGTCAGAGATTTTAATACGAAAAGAAATGCCATGTATAGGTTTGATGTGTCTGGCCTCTGGCCCTTATGAAAACAGATAACAAAATCATAAGCGAGCCACTCGCCAATCGACTTTTCGTTTCTGCCATCCCTTTTATCAGTGATCAATATTTTATGAGTTTTTTGTCTCTTTTTTTTTTTTTTTTATAGCAATCAAAGTTGCTCTAATCTAACAGAAACCTAATGGACATGTGCATAGTGAAGAAAGATATGAGATTTTAAGAATGAAATGAAAATGAAGATTGACGAACACAAGAAAAGTTTTCCGTTTCCTAACCGGGAAGCATGGGCATGAAATGGAAATCAATTAGGGAAGAAAGAAAATGGATTGGGTGGGAGAGTCTGCAGGAAGCAATATGCAAATGAGAAAACATGAAAGAATAATGCAAATATTAACAATTAAACAAGCAGTGAAAGCCACGGGATGCGCGGCCCTCGCTCTCACCTTTGAACATCCATAACCACATGTTCAGGGTTGAAGGCAGCTCTGATGGTGTAGGCGAGAGAAAGGGAGGCTGAGGAGCCATACTGAGAGAATGACGCAGCAGCTAATGGGAATCATCATATTTTCAAGGCACAACCAGGGGGGTCAAGCTATACTGTTCATGTCTGGTTTTTCTGTTGAAGAATTCTGGGGAATTGTGATGGGGGGTTTTATATAAACCGACATTTTAAAAATGAGAACAGTGATGTGTAGTTTGGAGCAGATGATTGGGGGAGGGGGGTTTTGTTTATTTGAAGGAGAAGCAAGCTATGATCATTGGAGACTCACATTCCTTACCTTGCTTGCTAACCGTACTTGCCATTAGCCTTGAACGAGCTAACTGCTACATGTAATACACTACATACATTGTGGGCGCATATATTTTAGAATATTTGGAAAACAAAACTAATCATATATACGTCTGTACATGTTTGAATATGACAGAGTATTGTATAAAATATATATTCAATATATTGCGTGTCTTCTGCGGATCAAGAGTGGGAGAGAAGAGGGAGGGGGCTATCAGAAGCAATAGTGAGAACGAGGATACCTTTTTGGTGCATGAAAATTAACTTTGTGGTCATCTAGTTTTATGGTTAAGCAGGTGGAGATTCTTTGATTGCGGGAAGCTTCCTAGTTGTTTGAGTGGAAAAGCTTTTTTTTATGGGAAATCACCCTTTGGGCGGGGAAAGAAAAAGAATGAGAATTAGATACTGATTAATAATGAAGATTGTGGCCTTTTGAGTTGATGATTTCTTGCAGCAGGAGTGAAAAAATGGAGGCGCCCCTCCTGGAAAGCTTCCTTCTTCAGTAGTCCTCCTCAAGCAAAGAAGGCTAACAAAACGAGATGATCATAATAGACCATCATTTTAAAACTCAGTTTGGTAGATTGCCGCGCCAATGATCCAAGTCGACCGAGCTTTGGTTAATGGCTGTGATTGTTTCCAAGATTTCACCAACAATGTTGTGGATCCAGTACTACCATATCAAGGTCTCATTCATTTTACCCCTTCCCATTTGCATCATGTTATGTTTTAAGAAAAGTAAACACTAATGACATGAGATTATCAGTAAAATAATCCAAGACTTCTTATTATTCATAGAAAAACTTTCATTTTATAATGTAAGTTATTGATTATTGATGAAAAACTTGTTCAATACTAGTTTTCACATATTCAAATTAAATCTTAATTTTTTTTCTTTTAACAATTAAGTCAACTTTATTAATTCAAAAACCACCAATAACCGAAGTAAAAAAAAAATTGAAAAACATATTCATACAACCTAACAATCAGATCTTTCACATATAAACAAAGACAAAACAAAAAAAAGAATCGTAAATAAAATGAAGAGAAAAAGAAAAAGCTTTAGTAGTCAATACCATTTCCATTAAAAACTAAATCAGAACCATCTCTCCCTCTAAACCTCTCACTGGCTCTAGCATCATCAACCAGAATAGAAAGCAAAGCAGGTGCTGGCTTCTCAACCTACCTTATAGGGCACACCCCTTTTCTACACTCAACAGCAATCCAATTTGTTGTCTCAGTACGCCCCTCTCTAGATTTAAGGGTAATATCCGCTCCATCAAACTCTGCTAAAGCCACCAAGACAGTCTGCATCTCCCACTTACCCTTCAAATCCACATCATCAACAGAATTCTTTTTGCAGCACCAACAAAACTCAGCATAATCCACTTCGAAGGTCATATTGGTCAATTCCAAATCTTTTGCTAATATAACAGCCTTCAGCAACGCCAGAATTTCAGCAGCAACAACCTAACTGTGCCTTAATTTTGCTGCCGAATCCCCGTTGAAACGCACCTTCCTTATCCCTATTCACAATTCCAATAGCAACAGCATCAGTTTTACCATCATAAGACCCATCACAGTGGACTTTCAATCTCCCTTCCGCTGGGCACATCCACTTAGCAAGCCCACCAACTTTTTCCACTCTCTCCTCAGCCCCAAAATTCCCTCACTGCTCCGGCAGCGTCAGATGTTACTTTTATGGGATTTTGCGCTCGACCTTCAATATGACAGCATTCCTCTCTTTCCAAATTAGCCATAACAACCAAGCAACGTAAGTTAGTTGGCAATCATCAAATACTAAAGTCTTAATTCACACTATTTTTAGTGACTAATGGATGGGCCTTCTCTCTTAACCAAATAAATAAATAAAGTAGAATTATTAACCAAAAAATTGATGCGTCAAAATTTGTGAAAAGAATAAATACTTAAAATATTTATGGTCAAATGTTTTTATCTTATTATAAATAAAAATAAAAAACAATTTCTGGCCAGGGAATTGATCTCAGTTTTATTCTGGTAAAAAAAAAAAAAGAACTCAGTTTCATTCTTTCATTTGTATTCGTATTGTTAGTATATTATTATAAATAATATAATAATAAAATATTCTGAGGACAAAGTAGTTTTTGTGATGAAATGTGAAATAATTTATAATTCGGTAATCGGATTTTGTTCTATTTACTAAATTTCATATCAATGGCAATCGTAATTTAGGAATTACAAAATGTGCATGTCCTAATTTGATTAATGGTTTTGTTGGAAAAGAAAGCGAATAATGTTTTTTTTCCCTGTCTAAATAAATTTACATGCCGAAAAAATACAAAAGGAAAGCGCTGGTAAGGTAAGAACCATAGGCTCAGAGCAAAATTATCAGAATTCAAAAGAGGTTCGGACGTCGCTTCGGAAAGACGTTGTTTCTTCCGTGCAATCAATTCCACTATTCCAAATTTCCCATTCCCTCGCTTCAGTTTCCCTCCGTTGATTAGAGAATGAGGAGCTGAGCTGATGAATCAGTATTACTAGGTGCACGTCGTTCACAATGGAAGGAAGCATCTTAGTTGATTCGGAGCCGTGTGGCAGCGGTGGTACAGCTTTGCCCTAACAACATTCCCCTTTTTTTAAATTTTTGTTTCTCACTTAAATTGTAACCTTCTTTCGCGTGGGCATAGGTTTTTAATGCTCTCCGTTTGAGTTTCTTAGTAGATGTGTCCGAGTTACCTGTTATATTTTGACAAGATCATTTTTAACTTCTATTAGGATTTTCTGTGGGTTATCGATTGTTAGTTTATAGTTTATATAAGCTTTGTCGTTGCGGGTTCTGAAATATGCATTAGGTGCTGTCCTAGGAAAGTCAATATCTGCGTTCTTTTGAGATTGTAAAGCTGATAATTTTACTAAGGCGAGCCACCAGATAGCTGAAGATCCAAAATTCTATTTTCAATTTGCGGCTGCTGGGTGTTTTCTTTCTTGGCTGAAAGTGCAATATGGGTTTTGGGGTGTTGCATTGCTGAATATGTGTTCCTGGAATAACATGAAATGGTTTGCAGGCAACAAAACACAGAAAGGAAAAGTGGCGAGGGGAAATTTCGTTGGGGGCCCAACGAAGAAAATGCTGACTGACATAACAAATTTGCAGCAGGAGCACCTAAAGCCATCAAACCAACCTGCCAAGAAGCAATCTGCTACCCTAGGAGTTGACGAATCTACTGACCAACTTCTGAAGGTATATTTATTGTAAGTGTGGCATTTCAAGATTTCCTTCTATTTCTGTAGGGACAATACTTACGTCAAGTTTTTTATATTCATTATGTCAAGTTCTTTAATTACACGTAACCATGTGTTTTTAAAATGTTAGCATTTAATGGCATTTAATTATGAACACATATGACACAAAAAAAGACATATAGCCATGTGTGACCGGAGAACTTGACCTAAGTTTTTTCCTTTCTGTCATTGGTTTGACACTTAAGGTATGGACTATCATACACATATTTTGCAGGAAAATGCGATGCTGATGAAGCTTCTGGCAAGCAGAAAGTATCCTCTGTAAATTTAATCTATCTTTTATCTGATGGTATTTACTGTTGTTAAGCTGGCTGTACTTTATTGGGCGTTCCTGAACTGTGGTTGATAGTGCTATTATAGAATCAAGTAAAGCAGAGCTACAGAAATTGCAAGGCAATTTTCAGAAACTGAGCATGCAAAATGTGGATCTTGCTCGGGCAAATAGCCAGATGTTGGTGGTACTGTTTAAACGTTCTAATTACTGAGTATATTACTCTAGCCGCCTAGTATGATGCTATATAGCTTGAAAAGGTTTGGAATTGAATATCTAACCTCGCTAATTTCTATTGTATGATTTATGCAGGAACTTAATTCTAGTAGACAGAGGGTGAGTTAACCTTTCGGATGCAGTTGATACATATAACAGCTTAACGCTTTTATGTTGCCTTTTATTTGTGTAATTGTTGTTGAGCTACACTGTTTTTTGCCATTCAGCTGAGGGAACTCCAGCTTGAACTAGGATGCAAAAATGGCATACTCAAAGCTGCGAAATTAGAACCAAAGGTCAGTTTAACTCATGTTAATAGGTGCTAGTGCGGGAGTCAAAATGATTGACTGTTTTCTAACTGTTACTTTTTCCGTTCCCTCCTAGGAAAAAAAGCAGACATCAAAATTGAAAGATAAAATCACTGCAAATGAGGTGCTTTAAATAGTTTCTTTATTGTTTAGCTATGGTAATTGGTCTTTACTATTTGCTGCCTGCAATATTTATGTCCTTTTTTCTCTACCTTCTGGTCTGACCATCTCAGAGTCAGCTATCGGGTCAAACTTTTAAAGCAGATGGAAGAGAGGATATTCTTTCCGATGCCAAAAGGAGAAAAGTCTCTAAATCTCAATGTAGTTACTGTACCTGATCCACTGTATTTATACAACTGCTAAACCTAATATATGTATGTATATCGTAAACACGTGACTGATATGATGCAGCTTCTGGATCTGCTGTTATTAAACAAGCTAACCCCAAAGAGAAGGTCGACAACCAAAGGTACGAGTTTCATAATTTCCTGATATACTGGAATAATGCTTGAAGTTTGACAATTGACATGCTTGAAGAGGCTACTTATATCTCTCCATGAATATATAAATAGGTACTGTTTGAGGACGCAGTCTATGGGGTTCAAATATGAAAAGCCAGGGGTCACAGAAGATTCCTTAGAGATTGATGACACCAAACCATGTGTATCTCATCTGCAAGAAAATCTGGTAAAAAGAAAGGGAACAACAGCTAAAGAAGAAACCAGAGTAGACACTGAATGTAATTGTACAACACAATGTATCGTCTTGTTATATTCTCAGATTACCAAGCTTTTTCTCATATGTTACTTCACGCAGATGCAGGACCTTCTTCCATTGTGCAAATTCCCTTAGGGAATATCGAAAACAGAAGGTATGCTTGTATATATCTTATTTGAGCGTCTGTAATTGGGATTTATGATTAATGGGAGAATTAATAACCATTTACGTGCTTTTCATGAATTATTGGAAGGCAAAGTTTGAGAAGGCAATCTGCTAGGTTTAGGACTGAAATATCAGAATCAACTGAAGAAACCAGAGAAGACACTAAATGTAATTGTTTCTAGCATATGTCAAATTTTTACTTTCAGAGGTTGCCAAGTTTATTTATTCTTTTTAAAAACTTGTTTACTCATGCAGTTTCAGGGCTTCCTACTGTTGAGCAAGTTGACAGAAAGGAGAATGTTGATAAGAGGTATGCTTGATTGCTTGTATATGCTTGATTTGAAATGTCTGAGTTTGTAATTTGAGGAACGATCGGATTTATAATGAACACCTGCTGACCTTGCAGAATTATGAGAAGGCAATCTGCCAGGTTAAAGCCTGAAGATCCTAAACCAACTGAAGACTTGTTTGAGATTGATGATCCAAACTTTGCTGTTCCTTTACACGATAGTGTAATAAAGAGAAGCAGTCCATCAACCTCATGTGTGGATTCTGGACAACAAATGAAAGAAAATCATTCCGTTAAGTTTGAACCTCAGGAAGTTCGAAGATCATCTGTTGGGAGGCCACTGCGTCGAGCTGTTGAAAAGGTTCAGAGCTACAAGGAAATTCCAAGGAATGTGAAGCTGCGCAGAGCTGACTGAATTATAGGTGGTTGTCTGTTTTTACTTTTAGTGTTCGGCAAGTCTGTTGTCTGTTTAACAATTAGTAGTTTATAGATGAAAAGCAAAGTGAAGTTCAATCCCGCGATATTAAGTTCTTTGCTTCTTATAGCTTTCTTGTCTGGACCCCATTCTTGACACTTGAAAAGAAAGAATACAAACCGAAGCTTGTTCTGCTGCGATTATCTCTTGATGATGAAATGGAGAACACATTATGCATAAGATGTACTGGAGTAGCTGACAAATATCTGCCTTTTTGGTTACTGATTACTGAATCTAAACTTCTACGGTTCTTAGTACCTCAATGAAAGTTTATCCCTTGACCAGGAAAAGGATACATAATTTGCCTATCCCCTCTGGTCTAGTAGTCAATTGATTCATTTTGGTCCTGAGGCCATTATGGCAAATGGAACGGGACAATTCTTTAGAAATTCAAAACATTCATAACTCGCACAATACAAGGTTTCAACAATTAATTTGGTTGGTCTAGTGACATTCATAATTAGTGCTACTAGTTAATTGGGATGAAAACTAAAGTCTTGGTTTTTGTTTGATTTGATTTTCATAATATTTGATACCTGTTTTCAGCACTGTCTGTACTCTAATTTATCTATTTAAAGCAGAAGTGTGTCTTTGTTATCTAATTTTAGCATTTTAGCATTTTAGAATGATTTTTCAACATTTTAAATTTTAATATTGACATTTTTTTACTAATGAAACTAATAGTGTCAGGGTTTAGGGATTGAAAAATCATTTTATAAAATTAAGGGATTAAAATGAAATTTTGTATAAAATTCAAGAAGTAAGGTTATACTTTTTACATTTAATGTCTTTTCTTATTAAAAACAAAGACTTTCAAATTTAAAAGAGATTCCTTAAAAAATGTCAGTATCATAACTTGATTAAAATAAAATAATTTAAATGTAAGCTCAAATATTTAGGTCCTATTTGTTACGACATACTGGAGGGGTTGGCACTGGTGTTGGTAATGGGATGCTTATTTTCTCATGTTTGGTATGAAAACTGCGACAGTCCTGGGATTGATCCATACCACCTTTTATGGGATTGCTCCGGGCCACCACTCCCCCTTATATTAGGAAATCAGTCTTGGGATTGAACTTTCAGACCAAATTGCTTCTCATCCCATCATTCTCATCTCCCCCTCCTATCTTCTAATCCCCTTCACCCCCTGCCTGCGACATCTTTGCCGAAGCAACGTTCTTCCTCCTTCCTCTGAACCAGATCCGACCATCCACAACGACAGTGAAAGACGGCAAAACCCAGCAAGGATTTCAACGTGTTGCAGTACTCTTTCCCATTTGGTTCCTTGAATCGCTCCTTTTCAAGTTTCTGGCATTTGAATGGAATGATTCCGCTGAGGACGAACATGATTATGCTCCCTGACAGGGAGCTACCGGGGTCAAAGAAGATTACTCTGTTAGAGTCAATGAAGGTTTAGAGTGGGGTACTTGAATCTTGTGGTTGACCAACATAAGAGGAAGAGGGATACACTGTGCAATATAGAAACGAGGAAGAAGAATGACCATGGAATCTGGCGGGTGATTTGGAATCAAGTTTGCAGGTAGTATAATTTTTGTTATAATTTTATATTTTATCTTAATATGTTTTTTTAACAAATAATCAGTGTTAATATCCATTTTTTTGCTATGTTTGGATGGAGAGAAAATAAAAGAGAAAGGAAAACTAGAAAGGGAAACAAGGGGAGAAGTGGTTTTTTTTCTATTTGAATGAGGCAACAAAAGTAGGAGGAAAGAAAGGTTGGAAAAAAATGAGGTGGGTCTCACGTCTATTTTTTCCTAACTTTTCTCTTGATATATGAAGAGAAAATGAGAAGAAAACATATTTTTCTTCTCTACCCTTACATGTGTTTTTCCAGCAAAATAATATCTATTTATTTTTTTCTCATTTTTTAACTTTATTTATTATTATCAAGTCTTTCTTCTATGTTTGTTTTATTTAAAAATAAAATAATTAAAATTATAAAAATCCTTCTAAAATAAACTGAAATGAAAAACAAGTAGAATCGTTGTTTTTTTGTTTTTTTTAAACATTACATTACACAAAATGTTTTTTTCTTTTTTTACAAAATTATTTGATATTAAGATATAATAACATGATAATATATCTTTATCAAATAATTTGATTTTAAATTATATGATTATGTTAATGTAAATATGATTTTTCATTATGATATTTAATTTGATTTTAATCAAAATATATTTTGATATAACAAAAAGGGTATTTTAGTCATTCACATATTTATTCATTTTTTTCCTTTCTATTTTCTCTTGTCCATCTAAACATGAGAAGTGATAATATTTTCTCTCTAATTTCTTTTCTTTATTTTTTTTTTCTCATTTTCTTTCTTCTCAACTTTTCTTCCCATCCAAACAGAAAGTTTATGTTTTGACCAACGTATTAATATACCTATCATCAATATCTATTAATTCGATAATTATATACTATCTTTGGTCCTAATTATAAGAATTAGTTGACTAATTTGAAAAGATTAAGGAAATAAGTTAAGTTAGTTATTTGTAATAAATAGGTGTTGTTTTTTCTAAAATATTTTTACTAATCAAGTATATTAGTTAGAACTACCATTATTATAATGACTATCTGGAGAAAAAATATATAAATATGATAAACAAAATAAATTAATGTTTTATATTTATGATCAAAATAAAAATTAAACAAAACCTTACATTAAGTAGCGGAGGTAGTATTTAACACCCACACACAATTTATAAGTTTTGGTGTACCTAGAATTCCCTTCCTTTCTTTCCATAAGAAATAAATACCAACTTTTTCAATTAAAAGTAGATTAAGTAAATTACAAATTTTAAATATATATGTACAAATAAAAAAATTCTAGCAATATTCTTAATCTCTCTTTTGACAGATTTTTCTCTCCTAGTAATTCTTGTATGGGAAATAGAAAAGAATATTCCTTTCAGAAATATCATTAAAAGTATATATTTGAACTTTTTTTTTTTAATAAAGGGACCTAGTGTAATTTATTTTTAATAACTGTAATTTTTATTCAATTATAATGATATAGAAAAATTTTTAAAATAAAAATTATTTGTACATAGCAAAAGATAAATTACATATAAGTGAAGAAAATTTGCTGCCACTAAAAACAAGTTGTATCTACTGAAATTCAAAGTCCATTCAACCAATGATATTTTCAAACAGTTACTTTTAACTAATTTTTTCAGTTTTTTTCGCTTTTCAATAACAACAAATAAATAAAAAAGACAATAAATGCTTTAATTAACACAAAAGTATTTTTATGTTAAAAACATATTGCACTATTTTTTATTGAGTGAGAATACTCAAATCCTCATTAAATGGTAAGAAAATATATAAAAATCATTATACTACTACATAAATAATATATTTTAGGTTTTTTTTTAAATAACTTAGAGTATATCTAGAGCCGATAATACAAAAGCAGGCTCGGGTTGGCAAAATGCCAACCCTCTAAGGTGCAGTCTACTTTAGCTTGCACTTACTCGCGAGTTAACCCGCTTTTTTTTTCCTCTTCATATAATTCCTAATATATTATACAATATAATTAAAATATTTTGTTCCTCAAATTCTACATGAACAATTGAATATTGTCTTATTCATATTATTACATATGTAATTAAGTACTTTATATATTTGTGACTGTAGTTATATAAAAAACACTGTCCATCTTTTATTTTTCATTTATTTTTTGCATTACTATGCAAGCTTTTATAAGATTAAATAAACATGCGATGCTTATATATATACATAAAATATCTGCTTAATTAATTTGGATAAGAAAACTAGTTAAATTAATTATTTATAAAAAATATGTGTTATTTTTTTAAAAATATCTTCTTAAATTATAAATTAATCTTCACATTATTTTATTATATCCCATTACTCAAATTTAAGATTCCAAACTTAATTTTAACATTTCAAACTAAACCCAACACATACAATAGTAATAGTTTTTTATTAAAAAATAAAAAAATTAAGGCAGGCTGCCAAGGTGAGAATTACTTCAACTCGCACCGTTTTAGGCTCATACCGTAAACCCGTTTTTCCACATTTACTGTATATCTAGTCATCTTAAACTTAATACTAATTTCTGTTAAATTAGAAATATTAAAATTAATACTTTTTAAATAAGTGCGCCATTTGTTTTCTCAATCAATCAACATCGTTTTAATAATAGTACAGTTTACTTTATTTCATCAATTGAATTAAGAATAAATAGAACTCTGATATGCAGGCATTAATTGTCAGCCCTCAGAAAACGACCGATGGTGGAAAGTGGATACACGAAATAGAGCGGCAAAAGGATGAGTGAGAGGATGGCAATAATCGACTGTATGACTGCATCACTGATTTTTTTTATTTTGTAAAAAAAATTTCTTTTTCACAAATACGGCAGAAAGGGACAAAATCTCAGAAAAGCGTGACATTGCCAGCTCCATTCACTTGCTTTGCCTTTCTCATCATTTTCACTCTGCCATTCCCTCCGTCGCGTCAAAATCTTTCTGACGCTACTCTTTTCACTCACCCCATTTGCTCATTTTACCCTCACTCTCTCTCCTCTTCTGTTTCGTTCCGTTCCAGGTAATGGGGATGATTCTGGATCTGCTCCTTCGATTTATTTTCTGATTCATCAGTGTCCGGGACTGTCTCCATAGAAGAAGGAGTAGGAGGAAGAGTATTATGTTTTCGAGACTAATACATCCTCACGAAGGGACATTTGGTCAAGAAAATATGCAGGGTGGATTGAACCACAGTCACCTTGGAGACCCATGTCTTGTCCTGACTGCTGATCCCAAACCTCGACTTCGTTGGACTGCGGACCTTCACGAGCGATTTGTTGATGCCGTCACTCAGCTTGGAGGTGCCAGTAGTAAGTAATTTGTTCCTTAACCTTTTTGCCTTTTTCATTATAATCGTATTCCATTTATGCAAGCTTTATCTTGGCCGTGATGCACCAATTTCATGGATAGAAAAGATTGAGCAATGGTTTGGGTAATTTGCTATCTATAACGTGGGGATTTTTTAGGAATCTTCATCGTCATTTGTTAGTGATCACTTAGCTTCTGGGAGCTAGGAAAGATGGGGCTTTTCGTATCTCGTATAAACTCTATTGAAATAAGTGGAATTACTTATTCTCATTAGCTTTGGCTGGAATATTTGGAGTTGAAATACTTTGCTGTTTCTTTTAAGTTTTTCTAGTTAGTAATACCAATAAGTCTTCGTTAGCATGCTTGT